TGACTCTAAATAGTACACAAAAATACAGATTGTATTAAAGCTACTTAATCAGGTGTTGGGTATTCATCTAAATGTCCAATAGTATAATGTTTCGTTTGATTAAGGTATAGATTTTTTTTTTTCTCAAAATTTGGTGTTGTTCTTGTACATACAGAATCCCACAACATTTCAGAAGATGTTTAAAATAATTGTACTAATCTAGAATTTAACAACAGAACACATTCAGCAAACTTGATAGCTTCAAATAATGATGCATCATTAGTTCTTACCTTCTGTCTCTATTTTGTTGTGTTTAGGGAGTTCAGTATCCAAAAAGGTAATTTGACAAGACTATAACTGAAATCATCCCCTAGATACTTAGAAGTGACAGAAGGTGAAGTACCTTCAGTTGAAATCTACTTTAATATGAACCATTAATAAATATTTACAATTCATATTCCGATGATGTCTATGTCCTTCACATAAATAATTCTGAGTACTTGAACTGAGTTTGTTTAAGGTCTTTACATGAATAATCTAAGGCAGCAATTTCTTATAAGAGCAATTTAAATAAACTTAATAATTTCCAGACTTTAGCAAGAAATTATATGAATAGTGGAAGAATGCTAAATTAATTCCTAATAAATATACAATATATAGGTACAAGTGATACTTTATTCCCAATTTAAGATAGTTTGATAGAAATAGATCTTCCACAGTACATTTTTTCATATTAAGACAATGGTTGTGCAATGTGCATGTCTTTAAATTGTGATCTTTAAGGATTAATAAACCCAAGAACAAAAACTTAATAAATTGCTGCTTACCTGCCCTTAGATGCAGTGCCTGCATTAATTTAACTTTTTCAGGCTAAAAGCATTTTCAGCAAGTAAAGTAAATATCTGTTGCTCTTTCCAGAAATTCAGTGTCCTTATCAATTCCTGTGAGCTGAACTGAAAGCAATTTTATCTTATATTCTTTCTATAAACTACTAATCTCCCCCCCCCCCCCAAACAAAGGCAGACATGCTCAAAGATCAGCCTGGGTGGCACTCATGGGTTCCTCTGTAAATATATAGTGGAGGAGGAAGCATTGCTACTCAGAGAAAGGAGGTCGGTTGTTTACAGGATTACCAGTTAAAAATAAAAGCAAAACAGACTGGAAAATGGAAAATAATTTAGCTACCATATCTAAGAATTGGTAAGCTTCAATATATTAAATTTTTGCTCTGTTATTTAGAAAAGCTTTAACCATTTTACACCCAGTGCTTCCAAAATGCTTTATAAAGAAGCTTGTAAATATTTAATTGCATGACCCTTTCAAAAGCAAGTTGCAAACTCTATATTCTCCGGCATGTACTGTATGCAGATTTCTCCGTTTCCCAGGGAATTATATAATTCATTAGCTTCATTAGTTATTATTTCTGTGTGTGAAGGTTCTCATTTATCCCATTAGCTAGTAATATCACATCTAACTAGATTTTTTTCTGTAATGTTGAAGACATTTTGTACCTTATTGCAGCCAAATCTTCAGTGTCATAATCATACCCCAGCTTAAATCCACACTGTTAGTGTAATCCAATCAACATGGAACATGTCAAGGTAGATGTTGACATTTCTAGAACAGAATTTCTGGGATTCCTAAACTGCTTGATCATCTGCAGCTCAGATAGATCTACAGGTAAATATTCAAGATAATCAAAGACATCATTTCTTTATCATTTTAACTCATTGCACTATATTATTGCTGTGATTAAATTGTCACTGAAATTACATGGTTGAGCGAACTCTTAGTAAAATCAATCAGTATAGCTCCATATACTGTTATAGCTGTTCTGAAAGCATTAATGATTTCAAACAAGGAATATTTTTTTTCTGAGGTAAACTAGCAACAGTGCTTAGATTAAAGATCAGGGTTAAGATATAGAGTTTTAGACTAGAGCTAAGGTTAGAGCTATGGTAAGGACTAATATTAGGACAGTATATGCTCGGTTTTTATTGGGGGGCATTCATTTTATTTTTGATAATTTAGCTAAATAAACCAATAATAGTACATTCAAATAAAATATTAAAAGAAAACTCCATCTCTGCTGTAACATATAATTCCAAGTATATGAAATATGTAAGATTTAATTTTAAGATTTTTTTTTAAGATTTGTTTTCTGTACTTGTATTAGGCTATCCATCTCCTATTAGTCATTGCAAAGCAATTATTTGGTAAGCCCTGGTCCAAAGCAATCCATTACAAGTAATGTAAAGTAACAACCGCAATTCATTTGTTTTAGTAATGCCCATGTTGAGGGTTAGGCCCAAAAAAAAGTTTAATTCGGAAACCGTAATGCGAATGGTGTGACAAGGTTTGAATTTGGGTCGGCGCATATGTTGTGCATATAAATTGATTTGATCCACAATCAATGCATGGAGATCTTCCATGAAAAACAGCTCCAAAAAATCAAGGGGAGTAGTTACATTTGCTGTTTCCACCTTAATTCTGGGTTGGGCAGTAAATGGGGGAATTACGGGTGCTGCAGAATTTGTGGGCTGCCAAAGGAAGGATACTAGGGGCTCTACGGGTCTGTGTTTGAATTCTTGATGGTTACGGGACAATACTTGTGCTTTCCACCACCAGCTTGTACTGCACTTATGGGACTCGCCACATCACCAAGTGATACTGCAGTGCTGGTATGTAAAAGACCAGGATGTACTAGGCCGCTGGTGCTTGCCAGTTCACCAAAAGGTAGAGCGACACTAGTACTGGCACTTTGCTGCATATGAGAGTCATCAAAATTTACTGACAAGTGCTAGTAGAGATCAGGCCTGATTCTGCAAACACTGTGGTTTTGTATGCAATGTATCAAGTGACAGTGACCTACTGATACTGCATTTGCTGTGGGAGAAGGGGGGGGGGGGCTGATCCCGCTAATGCTGTGTTTTTTGGGGACACTATACTAATGTGAACGCTGGTATAGTGCTGATCTGATCAAAGATATTGATCCGGTCAGACACTATACTAGCAATGGAAGTTTATTGTGTATGAGCGTGTTCCTGGCAATCAAGGGGTTAAATGTGATTACTGGTGTACTAACGGGCAATCTGACGCTATCTGTGAGGGGCATGAAAACCACGGGAGAACGAATCACATATATATACGTGATTTTGCACACACCCGTGCCACCCTGTAGCAGTATTTCTGCTATAGGGCGGTCAGGAAACAGTTAAAGAAGCAGTTTGCATTACGGCGCTGCGTTACTTTAAATGACAATTGCGCAGTCATGCAATGCTGCACCCAAATTAAATTTACCCTTTTTTTTTCCCACGAATTTAGATTTCTTTTGGCGGTATTTGATCACCTGTGCATTTTTTATTTTTTGCACTATAAAAATAGACCCACAATTTTGAGAATAAAACAATATTTTGGACTTTTTGCTATTAGACATGTCCAGTAAAAAAATTAAAAAATCTAATTTCATCATATATTTAGGCCAAAATGTATTCTGCGACATCTTTGCTGAAAAAAAAAAATCCCAATACGTGTAAATTAATTGGTTTACGTGAAAGTTATAGCGTTTACAAGTGGTGGCATAGATACTGGAATTTTTTTTTTTTATACTAATAATGGCAGCAATCAGCAACTTATGGTGGCGATCAGCAACTTATGACAGCGATCAGCAGCAACTTATAGCAGGAATGCAGGACTGTGGCGGCCATTCTGACACTGGGGGGAACTGACTTGGTGTCATTGACATCCCGAGTGACACCAATACAGTGATCAGTGCTAAAGAAAAGCACTGACACTGTACTAATGGCACTGGGCAGGAATGGGTTAACATGAGGGGCAATCAAAGGGTTAACTGTGTGATGGGATTGTTTTACTAGGGGGTGGGGGGGGGTAAGCACACTGCTCTGGATGGCTCTGCTCAGCCATCTAGAGCAGTGTGCCCAAACTGACAGGGAGGACGGCTGTTGGTAAACAATGCAGCCCTCCTCTCTGTCAGTGATTACCGATAATCATCGGGCGCCGGCGGGTAATCACCGGGGGCCGCGATGGGCGGTGCAAGTAGGGCGAGTGCCCCTTACCCGGAAATGCAGATTCAAGTATATATATATATGTGATCCTGCACATAGGGGCCACCCTGTAGCAGTAAATATACTGTGGGCAGTCCTTAAGCGGTTAAAATACATTATTATGTTTATAGTATTGCCTGCCAGGTGTAATTTTGTCCAGCCATGCTAAAGACATTTCTGCTAGAAAGTTGCTACTTCCTGGTTTAGCGTTACTGTTTGTTACATCAGCTCTCTGCTCATTTGCCAAAAGCAACGATGCTGACTCAACACCCAGTGAGGAGGATGGAGGTGAAGATATGACATAGGAAATTGATTTTCTAAAACACAAATAGGAATTGTTTAATTTGGAGCTCCATATGTCTTCTATCAGGTTTTGCAGTGGGGAAAATGTGTGTAAATCACAAGATTGGCTGTACATAATTTCAATCCTCTGGAAGATAAAAACAGTTAACATACAAATCTATATTTAATCTCTGTGTGTAGGTGATTGCCTAGGGTTTTGTGGTAATGTCATTATAATTACCCAGGAATACCATAAGAAAATAAGAGCTTTAACAAGAATTTAGGTAAATTGGATCATGAAAATGAAACTCTAAATTATTTTGATACAGTGTATTAAGAATGTTCAGCTAAATATAGTTTATTAAATAAATTGCTTTCCAACTATAATTTTCCTTTCCACTCAAATACAAAGAGGCACCTGTGAATGGATTAAAGATATTAGCAAAATACTGCAGGCAATAGAAACAAGAAATATTTTCCTTGACAACAAGCTGAAAATGAATGAGCTGCATCCTGACGGCATCCTTCTCATTTTTTATCCTCAATTTTCAGCTTTATTTGAGCTACAGGTACCTGCATTTAGTAATTTATTTTGTACTTTATTGTTGGGACCTTGCATTACCTTTAGAACTTTACCACATCACCAATGAAAACTATACTAACCAGTGCCATTTATATAGTATACTGTATAGCAGGGCTTGAAAAAGCCACTCGCCCACTCACCAAATGCGAGGAGAAATTCCTGTGTGGCGAGCGGCGAGGACAGATGATGGATGGAGCGGCTGCACCTGCACTCCAAGCCTCATTGTGAAGCCGAGTTCCAGTTTCCAACTTCCGGTTTCTGGCTTCTTCAGCACCGCTATTACACTGGCAGCACCGCTGAGGGGACAGGTGCAGGAGAGGTCCGCTCTCCTCCGCTGAGAGGAGACACCCTCTCTACCGCCGCGGGGGACTCGAGGAGAGGTCCGCTCTCCACCGCCGCGGGGGACACAAGGAGTGGCTCGCTCTCCAGCCGCCTTGGGGGTCCTTGAAGTATTTTTGGGTATGGTCTGTGGAAATTTTGTTCAGTTTATGTATGGTTATTTGTACATTCTTTGTGTACGGTTAGAGGTCCATCCTCTACTCCTACAGTTTTTATAAAGTTTAATCTTTTATTAAACACCCTATTGTACATGTTGTATAGCTTTTAGTAGTACCTGAAAACTTGCATACTGCTTTCTCTTGGTGTCTGTACTCAATACGGTAATAATAATATGCCACGTTAGCCATAGATAGTAGAAAAGGATGTGAAAATGTAAGCAACACCTTTTTGCTAGCTAACCTAATATAATTTAAATGCAAGCTTTTTAGAATACTGAGTTGTCTTCACCAGACATGGTGTCATACCTTTACACATCAGTGACATGAACATACACATAGTATATGTAACAAATGGTCACCAGGGGATGCCTCTGGCAGTTTGCCAGGATTCGGTGACAATTTTCCCTATGTCTATGGATAGACCTTACATCCAGTTATTAACACGTTGTGTCCTTTTTTAATACTTTAATGGCAGAAAATGTGTTATGTGAATTTCTAATATAATAACAGAGATGCTGTGAATACACATTACATGTTTACATAGGTTTCATAAATTAGGTTCTAGGCTCAGTCTGGCCTCTTATCCACTATGAGACTTGATTATGTAAACCAGCTTTCTATTAGACTCTATTCTAAAGAAAAATGTAATTTCATAAGCTTTAAGTGGCTGTGGTTGGGGGCAGGGCTGGGGTGGGGTTGGGGGCGGGCCAGGGGTGGGGTTGGAGATGGACCTGGGCAAGGTTGGGTGGGGCAACTGGTGGAGAGTAAGGTTTGTGCATGGCTAGTAGGTCTAGACTCGAAATTTTAAGCCCTGATGTATAGAGAAAAAAAGTGAAATTTACAATCATTTTATCACACTCTAAACTATGACACATTGCACGGTTTTGACAGATCATTAAATCTAAAACACAAATTACTTTGCTTCCTAAACTAACAACAAAACAAAGTGTAGTGCTATTGAAGACAGTGCAGTTGATTTAGTAAGAAATCACTTTTTAAAGTAAATGTTCACTGAGCTAAGTAAATAAAATGAAGATCTGTTCACTTCATTTGATTATGTGCAAGAAAATATCTGGGTTTTTCCCTTGGTTATGATTGGGTAAATGAGCATAGCGTATTTATTAAGCACAAGACACATTCACTTTACAAAGTGAACAATCAATTTTAAAGTGAACAGGATTTTTGAGTAAATCAACCCCAATGAAGACTCTCTGCCAGCACTCCTTCTTCTTCAAGGTCCCTCAAAAGTGTCCACCAGAAAATAAGTAACACCCACTGGATAAGACGTCATGCAATAAAACACCAATCAGTTTCATGAGATAAATACCATACATTTTGAAGGAATAATGCATGCCTCATTTGTGTTTTTCGATGAAAGGTAAACATTTTTTGAAAAAACAATATACGCTGTTTTTTTTTTTAAAATTTTTGGTCTTTTTTTTTCGTTAATTTAGCAAAAGATTAAAAAAAAACAAAAAGTGGTGATTAAATACCACCAAAAAAAGAAAGCTCTAGTTATGTGAACAAAATTATAAAAATTTAGTTTGGGTACAGCATTGTATGACCACGTAATTGTCATTCAAAGTGCAAGAGCGCTGAAAGCTGAAAATTGGCCTGGGCAGGAAGGGGGTATAAGTGCCTGGTGTAAGTGGTTAAATACACTACTCAAAAACAATTAATGGAACACATTTTAATCAAAGCATAGCATCAAGTCAATTAAAATCCTGGGATATTGATCTGGTCAGTTAAGTAGCAGAGGGGGGTTGTTAATCAGTTTCAGTTGCGTTGGTGTTAATGAAATTAACAACAGGTGCACTGGATGGGAGACAATGAGACGATCCACAAAACAGGAATGATTTTACAGTTGGAGGCCACTGACATTTTTTTCCCTACTCATCTTTTCTGACTGTTTTTCACTAGTTTTGCATTGAACTAGGGTTAGTGTCACTACTGGTAGCATGAGGCGATACCTGGACCCTACAGAGGTTGCACAAGCAGTCCAATTCCTCCAGGATGGCACATCAATACGTGCCATTGCCAGGAGGTTTTTTTTGTGTCTCCCAGCGCAGTCTCAAGAGCATAGAGGAGATTCCAGGAGACAGGCAGTTACTCTAGGAGAGCTGGGCAAGGCCGTATAAGGTCCTTAACCCATCAGCAGGACCAGAACCTGCTCCTTTGTGCAAGGATGAACAGGATGACCACTGCCAGAGCATACAAAATGACCTCCAGCAGGCCACTGGTATGAATGACTCTGACCAAACAATCAGAAACAGACTTCATGAGGGTGGCTTGAGGGCCCGACATCCTCTTGTGGGCCCTGTGCTTACTGCCCATCACCATAGAGCTCCATTGGCATTTGCCATTGAACACCAGAATTGGCAAGTCTGCCACTGGTGCCTTGTGCTTCTCACAGATGAGAGCAGATTCACCCTGAGCACATGACATGAAAGGGTCTAGAGAAGCTGTGGAGAACATTATGCTGCATGTAACATTGTTCAGCTTGACTGTTTTGGTGGTGGGTCAGTGGTGGTCTGGGGAGGCATATCCATGGAAGGACACACAGACCTCTACAGGCTAGACAATGGCACTGCCATTAGATATTGGGATGAAATTCTTGAACCCATTGTCAGACCCTACACTGGTGCAGTGGGTCCTGGGTTCCGCCTGGTGCATGACAATACCCGACATCATGTGGCAAGAGTATGCAGGCAGTTCCTTGAGGATGAAGGATACCATTGAATGGCCCCCATGCTCGCCTGACCTAAATCAAATAGAACACCTCTGGAATATCATGTTTCGGTCCATCCAATGTCGCCAGGCTGCACTTCAGACTGTCCAGGAGCTCAGTGATGCCCTGGTCCAGATCTGGGAGGAAATACCCCAGGACACCATCCGTTGTCTCATTAGGAGCATGCCCCGACGTTTTCAGGCATGCGTACAAGCACACGGGGGCCATACAAACTACCGAGTACCATTTTGAGTTTCTGTAATGAAATTTCAGCAAAATGGACTAGCCTGCTGCATCATTTTTTCACTTTGATTTGTTGGATGTCTTTGAATTCAGTCCTCTGTAGTTTGATCATTTTCATTTCCTTAGCCTTACTTTTGCAACGCATTACCCAGTCCATATCAGTAAGACATCCAGCATGATATTTTTCCCCATTGAGATCTGATCTGTTTTCAAAGTGTTCCTTTAATTTTTTTGAGCAGTGTAATATGTTTGGGAGATGCTTTAAAGTGTATTTACACTTCTGCATTAAAAAATTGAGAAACCCCCACAATATGTTTGTTATGTGTTCCGATTCACACAACATGCCTAAAAAATAATTTTTAAAAATGCTTACCTTTCTAGTTCTTTCTTCGGAGCAGGAATATACACAGCTATTCTGAACAAGTTCACAGTGACAAGGTGTGGATAGAGTTTCCCCTCATTAACATACAATGCAGAATCCAAGCCTCAAAATCTATATTTCTTTGTCAGGACAGACAGTACTGAAAATCTAATTTATACATTAACTGATAATGAGTTCTGCCAGCACAGTACACAAAGGGTTAATTATGGTAAACATTAACTTCAGGGCCCCCTCCTTTACATTATAAAGGGGAAAGCTAGGTAGCTAGTTCAAGCAAGTAAAACACTTCTAAAAAATTAAGTTGCAATAAAAAAACATTTTATAGTTATGCTGTATAAAGTTAACCATTTAAGAAAAATAAAGTATTTTGATGCAAAATTACAAAAACACTTTTGGTCTGCATCTGAAGTTGCAAACCTGTATGATGTACTCCAGCAAAGAAGAAAACAAAACTTTTCACTAAATTACCTTTCCTATCCAGCTTTGGAAGATCTATCCTCTTTTCAAAAAGTTACAAATATAGCATGCATGCATGCAGGCTCGGGGACGGCCATGAGCTGACTGAGAACATATTAACTGCAAATAGCAACAAGAGGGATTGGCAGAGCTTCCCAAACCACCGGCTGGGCAACCGGACCTCACGATGCAGCCGAGGGCAACAGGTCGGTCCAAAAAAGAAGCCCTATCAGCCTGGGAATCAGTTCTGGTTCGTGCGGCCTTCCCCTGGGCAGACTCACTCTCTCAAGATGGTGCTGAGAGGGAAAGAGATGAGCAGCAGCCTCATGACCTCGCAGCCATGATCACCTCACATGGGGCAGAAGCAAGGAGCCAGAGGGAATCCTTTCTCCTCACAATCACAGGGAAATCAAGAGGACACTATCCAGGATGAGCAGTCTCCCTATGTCCCTTCTCAAGCTTCTCCCTTGGGTGTTTTAGAGTCATGGGGGTCCCCAGCATCCTCAATGGACAGACATATGACAGAGCTAGCATATGACCCACCAGCCCAGCAGAAAAGTGATATATTCGGTTGACTCAGTGCTTAGCTCCCATTTCTCAGCCCTCTTACAGCAGAAACTGTCAAAGGCATGCACAACAATTACTTCTGACCTTCTGACCAATGCTCTGAAAGCAGGACTTTCAGAGCATTGGGGAGAGACTAAACACCATTAAATCTAAAATGGACGGTACAGTCTCCAGGGTTAATCAAAACTCCACAATGATATGTGAACTTCAAGACAGATTGGAGGAGGCGTATGCTAAAATAGAAGATTTGGAGAACAGGTTATGCAGGTATAATGTACATATATGGAGACTTCCAGAATCCACCACCGACCTGGAGGGCGTGGTCCACACACCAATGAAAGATCTGATTCCCGATATATCACCACATCGGATGGAAGTGGACAGGATCCACTGGGCCTTAACGGCTCCCTGATTAGATGGTCTCCCATGAGATGTCATAGTCAAGCCACATTTGTACAGAATCAAAGAAAAGCTGATGATGATGGTTCAAATTCGATCTGAGCTAT